TCCCCGGTGTGCCTTTTTTTTTTTTTTTTTTTTTTTTAATTTTTAATCTTCCTGGCAAAATCTTTTCATATTATTAAGAACAGTATTAGCACCAGGGAACATTTTACAGAATTCTTTTGTTAAATCATAACCATCTCTTCCAGACTGTGATTCTCAGAAGACAAGTATTTTATTGCAGGAATGTCTCTGTGTTTGCACTCTAATGGTGCATCCACTCCTCTCCCCCCTCTTCCCCCCATACTCTCTCTGTCTCCCACATGCACACTCACACACATGCACACACACACTTTGGTCAAACTGCCATGTGTTGCTATTCTTACTCATATTCAGAAGTCATTATAGGACATGTAAAACAGGTGAAATAGAGACACAGAACTAGAATGCCGTAAGTCTCTGTTCTATCCATCTGGCTCCTCTTTTTTTTTTTTTTTTTTAATTACTTTAAAATCTTAACCCAATTTATTTATTTGATCAACATTTCTGTAAACGAAGTCACCCACCATGGCACAAAAACAAGTGTTGGGAGCAATATCCACTGTTAAGAACAGAATTTAGGATGGATTTGTGTCCAGATATTCCCGCTGTTTTGATTTGCAGATTAGTCCATTAAGTAAAGGATGACGAGTGCCAAAAACATGGAAAGTTCATCAGCAACCAGCGGCAACTGGTTTCCAAACTTCTTATTTAGAGAGATTGCTCACAGAGATGGCTGATAAATTTAGCTGCATGCCTCTAAGTCTCCCTCTAAATTTACATGCTTAAGTCATCTTTCTTTTCTATTTGATTCAAGCATAATTGAGCAAGTCATAAGCATAAGAAAATGGTCATATAAGATACAATGCAACATTTCAAATCTTAAGAGTCACCAGATTGTTTCCTTAAAGAACATTTCCTTTACTAGCTCATGAAGTTTTTTCTTTTGTTATTTAAGAAAGGAATTTTTCCTCTTTCCCCTCCCTGTGTAAGGATGATTAGCCCTCTCATATTGTAAAAGCATTGTACCATCTTCTTTAAGATGTTTTAAGCTACCTAGATAGTTGTCACATTTTTTTTGAAACATTTGCCACAGTGGATTGAAAAATGGTCAGTATTATTTGTTGTGGTTGTCCTTTATCTGACTTTTTTCAGCTATAAAATAATCCTGTTTAGGGAACCCTGGTATCTACAAATTGTATCTCTCATAAATTCTACCTGTGTTGCTTATTCCCTGTAGCTGCCCAAGTGCAAGAAGAAAGAGCTGTCTTCCACTGTTGCCTCCTAAGGATTTTCTACTAAAATTTGCTGCTTTGCCAATCAAAAGACCACTCAAACCTTGAACCTAGAGCCTTTTTGTCTTCCCCATTTGGCTGAATGCAGTTTCTATCCTTTTTTAGAGCTTTTTCAGCTAAGAGCAGGGAATCAAAATTAAATCCTGTTCCCCTAGCCCCAGCACAGCACTCAGATTTAAGAAATACCTAAAATATGACTCAGCTTTTAATCTGAAGTAGAGAAACAGTGCTAGGAATACAAAATTTTCCTGTGGCTGGTGAATGTTTTCTGAGAGGTAGGCAAAGGGTTAAGCATCTGAAGGCAGCCCTAGCCCGGGAACTTTGCATTTGCAGCTAGCCTAGCAAGAAAAGAAGGAAAATAAGTCGGCTGCAAGTAAATGTGCTAGGCAGAGGGGCTGCCTACCCCTGATGGGAGGCAAACCTCTCCAAGCCACGCAGTTTGCACAAGTTGAGGTGTTTTGCCCTGTACTTGTGTCTGGGTCTGTGGGCAATCAGACGCCTTGTAATTTGAGATGTGACACCTTAATCTTACCAAATATGTGTGCACCGTAAAAAGCATTGTAGGCAGGGTGTTTTCACAGCTATAGAAAATGGAGACATATTTGGTCCTTGCAGTTTTCCAACCTTTCCTCTAAAGATGTTTCTGTTGTTCTGAACCTGTTTTTTTTCTAGATATTTATATGTCATCTCTTATTATGGGTGTACTTTTTTTTAATGCTAACTCTAAGCAAAAGTAGATTTTATTTTTTTTTTACATTTCAAATATGTTTCTGATTTTTTTATGAGAAACAATAAAGTTCCCAAACGGTCACCTTATTTTATGTGTAGCCCTTGTATCTGAGGTTCTGACATGGCAAAAACCAAAAATATGTTACTTTGAACGAGTCTCTGTTCTGTCTTGAAGACTTTGAAATATTGCTCAAAGCATGCTGTAGAAAGTAATTTTTCAATTCGTGGGATTTTAATTGGAATAATTACTAGACATTGATATGATTAATTAGGCCCTTGATCAGACTTCAAAATGTGTAACATTTTATACCCTTTGAAGACATGTATTCTTCCTACACATAAACAGATACCATTGTAGTTGCATTTGATGTTAAAAACCTGAATATTTATAGAGAAGATATACATGTTAGTATGTAAATGGTTGAAAAATTTATTAGGTTTAATGTATGCCTTGGGTTATTATAAAAGCCGGGAGCTGGTGTTCCCCATTAACTGTTAGCTTTTGCAACAGCACCACTATGTGGTTTAAGTTCTGAATAGATGTTGGAAGGCAGAATATCTGTGGGGACACCACATGCTCTTTTGATATGCAGCAACAAACACGCCTACCTGTGATGGAAATATGTCCCAGCCATATAGTCCTCCATTTATGAGAGGGTAGTTTTGAAGTAAAGACAAAGACATGGAAACAGAAGATTAGCTCTGAACATTTTGTCCAACTAACGGCTGTTCAGCTTTCAAAGGTCAAAATCACTTCTGTCCAAGTTTCCAGAATTTAATAAAGGGTCTGAAAATATCTCTAGAAAAGATTTTCCCTTGCCATGTGTTGTAAATATTTTACTAAATGTGAAAAAGAATTCAAACATGGTTTCCTTTGATAGGTGGAAATGATGGTGGGAAATTATAGGTTATAATGAGTCTATGATTTTAAAAATTACTTATTAAACTTTATTTAAATATTGTTTTAAGAAGAAAAATGGTACTATTTCAGAGCTGAGAGAATTGCTGAAATCTTATTGACATCACCCTTGTGTTAGTGGTGAACTTGAGGCATCTTGTATGCACACATTTGAGTTTTCCTTACACGCTTGCACCGAGGTTAGAGAAATAATAAGTATTAAAGAGAAATTCCAAGCAAGATTCACAAGTGAGTCAAATTTGTTTCTGATACACATTTCTTGGAAAATTGTCTTCTGCAGTTTTTCCTCTTTCATTAAAAAAATCTGATAAATTCTTAAAATAATTAGATCAGGTCATAATCATTAACACAGCAGATTAAAGATGACACAGTGAAAAACATGTACTCTGAGCTGCAGACGTACCAAGAGGTAGGATGGAAAAAATGCAGGGCAAGAATCGTGAATTAGGGTCACACCCTGAAAGCCATTGCTCTTCAGAGCTGTCCCTAAAAGCAATACACTTTGCAGAATTATCTTTTTTTGTAGTTCACCCGTAAACCTGTTTTCTTGAGTGAGAATTACCACATTGAGATTAAATAAGATTCCAAATATAGTCTGAATGAAAATAACAAGAAGCAGGCTATTTCATACCTAACAAGTACAACTACTAGCACTTCCTCATGTGAAATATTTCAGACACACACAACATGGCAGTATTCAGCCAAAAATGTTGTTTTACTAGTACTTTTCATTTCAGAGTTTCCCTGTTTAATGAAATATAGGGATCTGTACTCCTATATCAAAATAAAGCTATATATTAAGTAATATACAAGAGGAGACTTCCACTTGCCAATATATAGCTATTTTTTTGCAATAGTGTTACAAACCACTACAATTTTCTGTACTGTACTGATGTGTTACCTCACTTACTAGTTTAGCACATACTTCGGACTTATGTAATATTTGTCTTTTTCTGATCATATCTAATTTTTCCAGGGACAGTCTTTATTGCAGGGATGATTAAGAATTGTTGCAGCAGAACAAGGTTAGTTGATGGAAGGTACCATTTCTGGAAACAAAAATATCTTCCTTGTAACAATAGGCATACTTTTAGCCTCTACTCATTTGTTATGATTAACAAATTAGTTTAAGAGAACTCACATGACTATCTGTAAAAAAGCTATTTCTTACTTACATAAATACTAAGAAAAAAAGTCAAATTAAAGATGCATGAAGAAGCTAGGTTCCAATACTTGTGCTGGAACTGGGAAAAGGTTCCTTAATTATTTAATGGTCCTAGATGAGGAAAAAGATATTTGGAATCCCAGCACCATTCTTTTGCAAGGAAGATAAATTCCACATGGGGACACATGAAGAGGTGCCTAGCCTGTAAGATACATAAAGTATTCTGGTAAGACATCATCTGGGATGTAGGATCCAGTTCTGATCAAGTTCAAGTCAGAGAAGACTTGGAAAATGACAGAAGCAATGATCAATTGTGTAATATCGTTTAAAACATAACATCTAATGAAAAATGAAAAATCAGAATTGCTTACTGCAGAAGAGAGAACTTGCGAGGTGTTATGACTGAATACTTCAAGCTCAGAAAAAGCTTTTGTATAAAAGAGACCAGCTCACATCCTGAATGACTTTGAGAAGAACTGAGAAGTTGCAGCAAGATGGGTTCAAGTTAGACGTGAGGAAAAACTGGAGAGCCCAAGCTCCAGAATTGGTTGCCTGGGGTTGCTGTCATATTTACCTCATTGAAGGTCCTTGCCAACAGAGTAAAGAAATATGTCAGGACCTACAGTGTTGTAACTGATCCTGCACTGGGGCAAGGGAAGGTCTAGGTAGTCTCTCTCAGCTCAT